GGGGTTTGGCGGCGGCGGCGGCGGAGGCGGCGGGGCGGGCGTCGTCGGTCGGTTGGCTCGTGGATGGGTGGGTGGATGGATGGATGGAGCAATGGAGCAATGGAGCAATGGGGCGAGGCATGGCAATGGATGCATTGCGCCAGAGAGTTTAGCAGGCGGGCCTAGCCCAGCGTGCTACCCGCCTAGCATGGCCTAGCAGTACAGTAGCACTGTAGTCTGAGAGTCGTCCGCCTGGCTTGCCCTGCCCTGCCCTGTCCCGGCCTGCCCTGTCGTGCTGTGGGGGGAGAGAGCAGCAGCAGCCAAGCCCGACGAGGGTCGAGGGTCGAGGGTCGAGGGTCCTGCAGTGCGCACATATCAAAGCCCCAGTCCCTGGCTGCCCTTGCTCCCTCTGCATCTCTAGGGGCCATCACCGCCTGCGCCATCTTGGGGAAATTATCGTCGTATTCCCCAAACCTCGACCTCCTTCTCCCTCGCCCTCGCCCTCTCCCTCGCCCTCCCTCCCACACTTGCCGCCGCTACTTTGGTCCCCAACCCTGTCCCATCCCCCTGCCCGGCGCCCTCGCCCGGCCAACTCCCACTCGCGCCTTTGCACGTTTGTTTCCTCTACGTTGTGTGAATGGCTTTGCCACGAGCCCAACACTTTTACCACACTCCGCTCTTGTTGCCCACCCTCTACCTGCACGACTGCAGTTCGCTTGAGGCCTCTTGCTACCACTGCCCCAGTCCCCTCCAGCGAGCCTAACCAAAACCACTAGGCCCTGCAGCCCTCCCCCCCTTCACTCTCTTACACCCATTCACGCCCGCTTGCTCGCCAATCGGACCTGCACAAACCCTCTCTCCCCACTCGCCATGCCCGTGCTCGCCGAACAGCCGCGCCAACTATCCATTTCTTTTGACGAGCCAACTCTCTCCGACCGCCTGCGTCATCGCGATTCACGCTCCCAGTCCCACCGTTTTGCCATTGAAGAGGAGGACGAGAGCACAGGCACCGCCAGCGAGCCAGCCGAGCCTCTCACTCCAACCAGCCATTCCAGCGATGGCCCCTCTTTCCACCACCCTTTCCCGGACGATGACTCGGTAGACGATGTCTTCGCTACCCCACGCCCACTACCCAGCGACACGCCATCAAAGTCTTCTCATGAAGATGCCCTCCCCCCACCAGACGCCCACACATCCCACCCGCCTGAGCGTGAGTCGCCCCCGGAGAGGCGTGGACTGGGCAAGCGTGTCGGAAGCCTATTCCGTGGCAAATTGCACAGAAGCCACGCATCAAAGGACGGTGCCAATCAATCAGAGACGTCGAATTTCCCCACGCCAAGCAGGTCTCCAAAAACAAAGCCAGACACCGATACCTACATTGTCAAGACTGGCATTGATGGCCCAGCCGAGTTGTCGACCCCGGCCGTCGACATTCCCCGCCAGAGCAAGAGGTTAAGTACTTTTTCTCTAACCAGACGCTCCGATAGGTCCTCTCGTGCAAGCTCTCCGCCCTTGTCTGGCTCGGCTAGCAGCAGGCCCTCGACCGACAAAAGACCAGAGCTTGGCAAGAAGCCCATATCTTCTACCGCTCTGGGAAGCATGACCAGGCCCAGGCCTGGCATCACCTGGGCTGGAAGCGGAAGTGTCACCACTACCAAAAAGACTGGTTTCCTGCGGAGACGGTCGGCCAGCACAGAGCAAGTGCCACGAACTGGCGAGAGTACAGAAAAGCCTACTGCCGGTATGCTGGCCACTTTCTCCAAGCCTGCCGCTCAGGGCGTAGGCATGAAGGCACGACGCCTCAGCATTAACCTGCCCGATGATTTCATTATAGATTGGTGTGAACTAGACAAGGAATTCAAGAGTTCGAGCCTGATGCCAGGGAAAAGAGGGAGGATACTGGGTAAAGGGGCCACATCTGAAGTTCGGATCATGGCGCGAAGAGGAGGCATTACCAGGGAAGAGGACTTGGTGGCAGTCAAGGAATTTCGAGAAAGAGACAAGGACGAGACCGAAGAAGACTATGTTCTCAAGATCAAGTCCGAGTACAGCATCGCAAAGAGTCTGCATCACCCCAACATTGTCGAAACCGTTCGCTTATGCACCAACCGCGGCCGCTGGAATCACGTCATGGAGTTTTGCACATATGGGGAAATCTACTCGCTCGTGGAGCGTAAGCTCTTTGCCGGTGGGCCAGAAGGGTACTATAGCCGGGATGACCGGCTGTGCTTCTTCAAGCAACTTCTCCGCGGCGTCGATTACCTGCATAGCCACGGCATAGCCCATCGAGATATCAAGCTGGAAAACCTGCTTCTCAGCAAGGAAGGCCATCTGAAAATCTCGGATTTTGGCGTTGCCGAAGTCTTTAGCGGCGAGCATCCTGGCCTGCGCGCTTCTGGCGGAGAATGCGGCAAAAACATGGGACACATTCGTCTTTCAGCCCCTGGCATCTGCGGCAGTCTGCCGTACATTGCTCCCGAAGTGCTAAAAAAGGACCACAGCTACGACCCCCGACCACTGGATATATGGTCAACTGCCATAGTCTACTTGACCATGACATTTGGTGGCTGTCCATGGCAAGCTGCCAAGCCAGAGTTCGAGTACTACGCGCGATTCCAAAAGGGTTGGGACCAGTGGCTGCAAGCCCATCCAGATGGACAGATCTTCGATGGCCCCGACGGCCACCCCAAGTGCGGCAAACTGTTCAGTCTCATCGAGCCCCCGTCGATCAAACGTTTGATGCTGAAGATGCTACATCCCATTCCGTCGCAGCGCATCACGATCCGCGATGTGCTCAAGACGACTTGCATCAAGAACATTGGCTGCTGCTGTCCGGAGTCGTACGAGGAACCCAAGATCACTTTTGATGCGTCCAAGGCGTCGAGTGCGAGAACGGCCGCGCCTAAGAAGTATCTGCATCACCATGTCCCTCCCAAGCCTGAGAATAAGGTTGGGAAGGCATTTACCCACCGTTTCGACATGGGCGAACGATGACCATGTCCCCCCTTGTATATTTCTCACCATATACCATAATTATCGCATTGCATTGGCGCGAGCATGGCGGGGTACCATTCGCAGTCTCTTATCTTTGCGCGTTTGATGCGCATCATTCTTCTTTTCGAGTAGTAGTAGTGGTAGTAGTTGTAGTATTAGCAGCAGCAGCAGCATGCCGATCGTCTTATCCACAGACGGCAGACAGCATGCACCGAACAGATAGCGAATGCCACGATGCCAAGCTCCCCTGCAAACTTTGGTTCCCATGGCTCCTGCTCCGATTGCCACCGGTTGCACGTTGCTTATCGTATCCGTGTGCCGTGAACCAAAGTTGCAATTGGTGGCCCTACAGAAAAGTGCCGATGGACCCAGGATTGAAGATCATCGCGCTTGATTCGGTCGCATGGCGCAAGCGTCTAACAGGTAGCCCCTGGTGATCTTCCGCTCAATCGCCGCCGCGGCTCTGACGACGTTACCTTGACACATTGCAAGCATCCGACAACCTCTAGCTCCATCAATACCTATGGGGCATAAACTTCCCGGGGGGGTGAGAGGGGGGTGTGCTGGGGGG